CACTAGGATACGTCTAAAATTACCAATAGCAATACAGAAATATTTTCCAAGGAATCCAACTCAGTGGTCAGTAATTTTGGTAAGGTTGGGTATTTTCTGTTTTATTTTATCTGTTGATTCTGTTTTTCTCACTGTCTTTTATTCCCCTTTTTGGCTTGAAGTTCTATTTTTTTCCAATACTGATACAGACTGGTGACATGCTGTGGCGAGTGATGTGGTGAATTTTCTGCAGTGCTAATAATCCTATGATTGTCAGGATCATTTACTGCATGAATCCGCATGTTTCCAGGAAGACACTCCGTCTGCTTTGACATTTCTCAGATTCTCTTTTTTTCATTAATATCTGCTGCTGTAGGGTTTTTATAACGTCACACTAGGTTTTTCCTACTTACAAGACAGCTATCTGTGAACAAGGAAGTGGAGGAAGAAAGCAAGGAGGGGAGCAGAAAACTGTAAAACATGGTGCAGTCTGGCTATATCGATGACTCAACAGGAAATGATGAAGCCAGAGTAAGTAAGGTGAGAGAAGAAAAGGGAGGAGGGTGGGAGTGAGAGATAGAGCAGGAAAAAAGGAAGATTGACTTTGTCATGCCTCAGGACTCTGAGCTATGTCATGTGGAGAGGCTAAGAGAGAATATACCATGTTTTTTTCAGAGGAAATACGTGGGCCGTGAAAACACAGCTGGCCTCATTATCCCCGACCACCATACTCAGCACAATAGAGTCATGACGTACACATGCTAAAGTTAAATAATGGGATGTCGAACAACTGAATTACCAAACTTTTGATTACAAAACTATTTTCGATTGCTGTCCTGAGAGCTCATCCTGTATGTCATACGGTGATTCAAATCGGCTTTGACCCCAAAACAAGTTGCAAACACTGTGAAAACAAACAAATATTAACCCAAAATGAAGAACACTCAGTGTGTCCATGGCCTCTGGAACAAACTCATGTCAGTGCCAACAGATAATATCAGCAACTCAGTCCCTGACAACAGGGACTGAGTTGCTGCTTAAAATTGAAATAATATTAAAAAAACAAAGTCCATTGCCCATGTACGGCCTCTTTTCTGTCTCCTTTATCCTCCCTCATTCCAACTGATCCTCTTAATGAACTGGGGATCAACTTCAAAGCACAGCGGAAGGCATCCTGCTGGGCCTACAGACCCTCTGCCCACACTGAGGCATGAAATCACGGGTAGGGAAGCTGCCCAGGCTTCCAGTGCTGCATCCTGGGCAAAGAATTGCTCTTTTCATTTCTAGGTCTCTGCCATTCACTGAAGCTGTCACCATGAAATTAGATGTCACAGAATTTAAATCACTTTAATCCTTGCCACTTCCTCAGTCACTTCTTTGCCTGCTGATTCAGTTTTGTCTTTCTCTGTTGGCACCCTTGGAAAAAAAACTCTTGCTTTCGCGTCTTTTACAGAGATGGCAACACCATGTATAAAGCTGTGTGTTTGTAGCCTATATGTGTGTGTATGAGTGAGTTTTCCACTTCTAATCCCAATATATTTTATTCACAGGATATATTAGCAGTAATGCTATACATGCAATTTAAAAAAAAAAATATGTTGCAGCAGAATAGATTTCACAGGAAGTATTTTCTTTTGACCCTCGGCGCAGTTCCTGAGCTATATCCAACAATCAAAGGCAGCACAAACATCATTCTTCAGCCCATCCTCCTCTTCTTCCCAGTGGCTGCTGGTTCTTTGATAACTGAGCTGTCTTCTCACGGGATTAGGTCAAAGGCCGTGGTGTGAAGCCCACTCAGACATTTGAGGAGACTGATTCCTTCCTAACGCCTCCAACTTGTCAGACCCAACTGCAAATCCATTAAATTAAGAACGATTAAATGAAGTGTGTGTTTTTCAAATCACACAGACCTCTGTAGACAGCAGCGCTCCAGTCTGGTACTGATTCAGAACCTATTTGTCCCATATTTATTGAAAAAATCATAAATATATATAAAACATATCCTCGGTTTGGCAGTCTACTTTGAAGTAAAAACGTCAAACATGACTGTTCCATGTCAGGCTGAAGGAAGTAGTGGGTGGTAACAGAGATGAAAAAAACTGAGGGCAATGAGAATTTCCTAATAATTTCTTTGGTTTTTCACAATTACGGCAACTTTACTTCAGAGCTGGGTGCCTCTAGCATTGATTCACAGAAACGACAGCATTATGATTAAAAGGAGTGTGAAACTCAAAATAGCCACAGACTTGTCTGTCTGCAGGCTTTAACGGCGCTCTAATTACTATTACATGTTTGTACACAGCTGGTTCCTCTATAAGAGAATTCCCTGTGTCACCATGTCAGCACGTCAACCTACACAAATGTATTTACCATAGAACACGTACAGTATGTTAACACCTACTTCATTTCCTCTCCCAGCTTGATACATAGTTAAATGAGTGCTGGGATATTTCTCATTTCAGGGTTTTCTGCTACTCACAGCATTTTCTGGTGAGATATGAAACAGATATGCTCAACCTATCCAGCCTGATATTTCAGGAATTATTATTGCTATTCATTCTCAACTCAGTATTATTTCCTGCTTTAACCTTGTCACTTCATGTCTCTAAACAAAGTGAGCTCATAAAAAAATCATAAAAAGAGGTTCTTGCTTTTAGTCCGGCTTTGATGGGCCATCTTAAATTTTGAAAGCAGCATGAGGGAGTTCCTTCAGAGCAATCCATCACATCTTTGAAAAAAAGCACATGGGTGAGGGGGGTGGGGGGTGGTTACAGATGTGGGAGGTGGGCTTCTGACTGCACTGACAGCTGTGAGGGACGGAGGTCTCTCAGAACAGGAAATGACTTGACCTCCCCTGTGGGAGACTGGCCCACCCCGACAACAACCCCCACAGCTCTGTGCATCCTGGGTCACCACAAGCACCCTCAGCGGGCCGCAGATCAACAGCAGAGTGGCAGGGATGAGAAAATCTGCTGACCCGGGCCCAGGTGGCAAAAATGAGAAATTTTAGATGTGTGACGTCTACACAACAACAAAACAGAACAAATGACCAGACTGAGACCTTTAAAGGGATTGTATGTATTAGGTTTCAGAGTGAAAATGTGTGCTGCAATGACATCACAACTGAGAGCAGTTTCACCTCGATGTCACGCTGAAATGACATGTGCAACTAATCACTTCATTGCACAACAGGAAGTCCATCAAACAGCTTATTTGCTAAAAAGTATGAGTACTACTTTAAGCAAACAAGTTGCGTTGGTTGGAGAGGGACAGTTGATGATTGCAGCAATACGAGGATATTACATGTGGTGTGTTTATTTTGTGGGTTTTCTGATTTACAATGGGTTATAGGTATAAGGCACTCCTTAATCCATATATGAGGCTGTATAGGTTTTATTGGAGTATAACACAGTGGAACAGGAGAAGGAAAGAACGAAGGGAGTTCACTGGGTCACTTGGCATCACTCTTGCACTTTTATGAGATGGTTATTTTATTCAGTGCTTTACAGTATTTAATGTGTCTATTTGTCTGAGGATTTATTAGAACTGTTATGACGGTTAAAACATTACTTGGCAGTCTGGAGGAAGACTGTAGGCTCAGTGTGGTCTGGACTTTGTGGTGAAAACAAGAATGGCCTGCACTCACTTCCCTGTTATTTTCTGGTAAATGGCCTCCTGTATTGTCCTTCAGCCTCTCTCAGCGTGGGTGAAGACAAACACAGACAGTGAACTCCTATGTGACATGCAGGCTTCAAAACATGTTCTCATCCACCATGATCAGGCTGCCAATCTTGTACTTGTTCCTCTCTATCAGCCCCATACTGTACTCATGCCAGAAGACACCCACACACTCTTTGACTCCCACACAGGTCAGACCAAAATTGTTTACTGTGTTATGAAGGGCAATTTCCCATCCACTCATTCATTACACAATGCAGATAAACATGATTCAAATTCTGATTTTGAGGGTCGCTGTTTCACTTTCAGTTATTGCATGTGTTTGCATAGGGGAAATATTGTTTGCAAAAACTGGAAATCTGTCTTTCTGACATGAACATAAATTATCTTATCTTATCTTAAATGTAATGCTCCACAGTTTTCAGATCAGACATTTTGTTAGGCTCAGTGCTTTGATGTAGTCACATGTCTATCACGGATTTCCTCAAATGTTCTGTTCCATTGGCAGTGAGGACATATCTTGTGGATAATGACAGCCACATCTTGGTGATTTTCTATAGGCTTATTTGACCCATATATTGAACAAAAAATCCACCAGGCTATAACTTCTTCTCTGGTTTACAGCAGTGGAGGCTCAGATTCTTTAAATACTGCACTACGCTACTACGCTATTTTTCCCCTACAGGAATGTAATATATGACATATCTGTCCCCATATCAAGAGTGATGTTGCCATAAATGTGACCTATAAGGGGATATATTATTATCACATATATACATCCTCTGGATATATGAAGATATAAGTTTATAATGTAAATGAAATACCCATAGTAAAATTTGTATATGTATATATATTAATATCTATGTGATTAATTTTTTCCATAGAACACATATGTTTTCTATTTTAAAAATATATAAAATATATATTCAATTTATTTATGTAAGTTTATTGAAATATATATGTTGTTTTTCTCATTAATTTTAAACATGTCTAACTTCACATTCTAGGAAGGTGGTCTCAGACCCTACTGTTTATAATATCATACATGGGGATGGATGGGATGAGGGATGATTTATGTAACACCTGTCTACAATATAAGCATATATACATATATGTTTAAATTAAAAATGTATATTTCATATATGGAAATTCAATATATGTACATATATTACATTTGCGTATGGGATCCTGTGGTGTTTAATTCTTCTTGACGGTTTTTGTTTTTAGGTGTATTTTTCCCCTTTAAGGCGCTTCTGGGTGGAGTTACAGTGATGTGCCCGGGGTGCTGGATGCATTTATAAGGAGATGTGGAAAAGCGCGTCACTCTGACAAAATGAGTTTCACCTCCCAGCCTTGTTGATAGAGGAGGGATGTTGCACATGGTTGAGTTTTGACTGGGAGTCAGGATCATATTCAGATTTTCTCACATTGGACGGGACTCGATCGCCTCAGCTTCACGTGATTGAGACGCTGTCTGTATTTTCATGGTAAGACTTCCTTCCATATAGCCATGAAATGTATTCTGTGAATCGATGTAAACTGTTTTAACCCACTTCACCTGAACGCCCAGGAGTAGTGTTTGTATGTAAAGTGACCGGGGGAGCTCTGTTTTAAAATGACATTCAGAGAGCAGCAATGGTTGATGTTCTGTCTCTAAGGGAACTTTACAGTTGAATGTAAAAACAACCGTCGCTGGTCGTTGGTGAAAAATACAGAACCTGTGTTGTTTCTGTGAAAAGAACATGTAGTTGAACCGTTTGGTGACAGATAAAGCTTGTCCATCTGGTTCATTAGCCTGTGAGCAGCGGGAGAGACTGCTCCCTGAGCCGCTGATTGATGTCCACCCAGAGAGCCCATCGAGGCGGGATGGCTCTGGGAACGCTCGGCCTGTCCCCAGTGAACCGCTAGTGGGCGCCAAAGAGGAATTCAGTCAGTGGCAAAAAGTGTAGATGGTGTGTGGTGTTTGTGTATCTATCTATCTATCTATCTATCTATCTATCTATCTATCTATCTATCTATCTATCTATCTATCTACCTAAGGTATCTACAGGTATCTACAGGTATTGTAATATTTCCAAATTATTTAATGCAAATTTGTGAATGGCTGAAGTTGGTGATTTAATTTAAAGGATAACTGAGTGAAAATGAATGTGTAGAGCTCTCACTCACTCACTCACTCACTCACTCACTCACTCATGCAATGTAAAATTTGCTACAGCCTTCGGGGCTCATTTCAATACTTGCTGGCTTTTTCTACCACCAACACATACTGAACCAACTTCAAATAGGGGTCTTATTAATCTTAACAGAGTTTAAATGATTCATACCATAACAAACTGCATTACCATCATTGAGTAAACTATGTAGTTCATAAATGAAATGAGCCATTCCCAGAGACCAATGATTTACCAGCATCAGTCTCACAGTCAGAAGGATTTAATTCAGGATTCAACGTGTCAGATTCAAAGGCATCAACTCCAAACTATGTAGTGAAATGTAGCGTGGCATACTGATGATTAGAATTTAAATAGAGTAAAAATAAGAACTAGAAAAATATATGTTGTAGAAAAATTCAAAGATTAAAAATATAAATATATGTTGTAGAAAAATATTCTCATTATGTGGTGAAGTGAACAGCTTGGCCCTGTCACACCGACAGCACAGGCCTCACACGCCTGACATGTTCAAAACCATTACATGTAGAGTACACTGTATGTCTAAGGCTTCGTCACATCTCACATCTTTCCTTTAATTACAGCATTCACAGTGGTCTATTTAGGTGATTCTTTTCATCTTTTAAGTCACATACCACTGCATTTCTCTCCAGTACTGTGACCTATTAATGTTGTGGTGGAAATATTTACGTAAAAGGCACTTGGTAAGATTTCTGTACAGAATGCTGTGAGTGTAGAGTTTACAGCAAGTCGTTGTAATCAGGTGAAGTAAAACACAGATCATGTATAAAGGTCCAGTCAGTGAATGGCCTGTTGCCTGAAAGCAGAGAGGTGGGGACAGCCAAGCACAACACATCAAGGCTTCTGCATGAGATAAACAAACAGCTTCTTCTGGCCTCCTGGTTGTCCTTCCAACAGCGCCCATTCATGCAGGGGATTTGTGGCACTGGCTCATACCTTGGCCATGTCTGCTCGTCTCCATGGCGTATCTTCAGTCTTAACCTCATGGGAGAGTTCACTTGGATTTTCAGGCTTGTTTCACTGTGCACCAAAGTGACACAAAGGCCCATTCATGCCTGAGAGTGGCTCCATTCATGGACACTATGTAATTGCCGGTAGAATTCATAATTGTTCAGCGTCTTCCATCTCCGAGGTTCACTGGTGGAAATGACGCCACATTCGGTTGTTTTAAGGATAACATGAATATTCAGATAGATGCATGGGTCACTGTTTTGTTTGTAGTGGGGTTTTTTTGTTGCATTATTCATGCTCCACATTGTTTGCTTCCCACATCGACTGTAGACCTATCAGTGGGGTGTGTGTGTGTGTGTGTGTGTGTGTGTGTGTGTGTGTGTGTGTGTGTGTAATATAGAGTGTACAGTAACTTTAGTGCTTACATTTTATTGTGAAATGTATCTTTTTACTGTTGGTAAGGGCAGTAAGTGTCTGTTTGTATCTGTGTCGTATGTATTGTAGCTATGGGAGGCACAATATTGTGGGTAATTTACGAAGTAAGAATCCTGCTGACACGAGCTTCAGTCTGTTTTAAACCCCTTCAGTTGTCAGATAGTATGTTTAACCCAAGCTGCCCTTCACATAAAAACAGAATGACCTTCACCTGATCCAGAATACGTGTCCATCTTAGTAGGAATCCATGTCACATCAGGAGACAGGAAGCAGCCATCATATTAGTTAATATTAAAATGGTTGTATCTCCTTCTTTGGCTTGACATGTCCTTATTTTACATATTAGCTATTTAAACAGAATGCAACATTATTATTATTATTATTATTATTATTATTATTATTATAAGATATTTCTTTGTTAGTTGCAGTGTGATGTGTTTAAATGTCCTTTTTTTTTCTCAAGAAATAAATGAGTAAATCAAAATATATTAGGAGCCACAGCCAAATATGAATCAAACCAGCTTTTCCGTGACGTGTGCGTGTGTCAGCGTGCTGGAGTATGTCATTCAGCATCACAGGAATGCGGCACAATTAGTCCCTGTTGTGAGGGTGGATACTGCAGGGTTTCATGGTCACAGGGAGGAAGGAGGATGAAGAGTGCTGCCCTCCCACTTCTGACCCAGAGGTTGTGTAATAGCCTGCTCATCAGACAAATGGCTTTAAGCTGGAACCACAAAGAGGTACAGACACAGGCAGCTGCCAGAGCAGACTGAAGTCATTTACTGAGCTCTTGTTGAGGCTGAACTAAAACAGCGCCGTGCTTCAGGAATCTAAGTTATTACTTACTGTTCCTAACAAATAGTCAAGACAAAGTGAAGATGATCTTTCACAAAAAGCCTTTTCTTTGCTCAGTTATGTTTCAGTGCATTCCAGCCTTTTTCAGAGTGAGAGAGTAACAGGACAGAGTAGAATATAAGTTTTTAATGATCAATTATTTAATCTACAGTTGATATATGTTTGTGTTTCATGCCTCTTAAGTATTTGTCCTGACCTTTGACCTGCCTGGTAGGACAGGAGCATGCAGCTGGGCGTGCTGGGTTGACTTCCAGATGTTTATGAGCATTTTACATTGATGGAGGTATGACCAGAAAAAATGGAGGGAGTGCTCTAATGCAACAGCCTAATATGGAGGAGTCATGTTTTAGTGTTTAAAGCTTAATTGTGACACTCCTGCAGTAATGTCCAGGCGTGAATGTCCAGGTTCTCCTGTTGCTCAGGAAAAGATTTTCTGTTTCTCTATTACAGTTTACCACTGGCCAGAATGAAGCTGTGATGGGTCTGAAGCAGCAGACGTGTGCTGGAGCTCTACCAAACACAACCTTCATGATTTTTAAGAACACAAGTGCCTTTCTGCCACAACATGGCCAGGAGTCACAGTAACGACTGGGGACAGCATGACCTGAACAGGTACGCAGACACCGTTCTGACACTGACAAGAATTACAAGACTTTATTTTATAGTGTGACCCGATTATCATTCCTTTTACCCTCATCATATAATATCAGCAATGATTCCAATGTTGCATTTTCATATTATTTTTGCTATGTTTGATGTGTATAGAGACAAAAAATAATAAGATTTAACAAGTTCAGCACCTCACACATCCAAAAATAAATCTTTGAGATGATTTACAGGATGAAGACCTGCTCACATTTTAAGCCATCTGACTTTCACTTGCATTCACTTTAAATTACTCCCATAGGCAATGCTTTAATGTGTCTGCGATGAGAATTCATCACATTCTTTGATAAAGTCAATTTTATTAAAAAAGCCCAAAGTCACAATTTTGACTTTAGAATCTGTACATTACACAAGGCCCTCCATCCTTAGACCACTGACATCAGATAAGAGACAAAAAAAAGTGTGTAACTTTGGGGGGAAAAAGGGAAAAATTAGACTTTTACTAGATGTTACATAGATAGAGTAGATAGTATTAACAATAGTAATGAGAAATATAGCTAAATAATATGAAACAAAATGGCAATATTAGGTAAATAAGGAGCAAACATACTTGATGAACATGCCTCAGAGAAGATGTCTGCATTATGTCAATACATAAAGATGAACAGAACATATATTCTGTTGTACAATGACTCACTCATGACAGATTATGTGCAGGAATGATTTACACACATGCACAGCTCTGTATGTATTTCTCAACCTGTCCTGCTTTGCAGAGTGTGCTTTGGCCTGAGTGCTGATATGGAACACAACCTGACGGAGCTTCAACAGCAGCAAATGGCCAAGGAATTTAACTGTGAGTCCTTTACATGTTACTTTTACATATAAGATTATTATACAATAATTTTGCCACAGATTACTAATTGAAAACTCTTTACAGCTAACATGGATACATATGGCACGTATGATAGTTTAAATGCATTGTGAACTTGAGTTAATACGTCTTAGATACATTATAATCATTTTTAGCTGTAATTATTGATAATTGCAGAAACAGGTCTTAAAGTAAGCCAAGAAACAAAAACAATAAAGACACATTGATAAGATTTCACAGCAATTGTCTATTTTGAATTGTGCAACACTTCAAAGTGTGCTAGACATGTTTGTGATATAAATCATTCATTTTCTTAATGTTGATATCATTTTACATCAATTTTTCAGTATAATAGATTTATATTCTTAAGTTTGTTTAAAACCCTGTTTGACTAAAAAAGCAGCGTGAGGACAGGGCTTAGGTGAATTTGTCATCACTGGACTGAGAGGAGCGGAGTGAAGGAGCAGGGAAAGCTATCGCTGCTTGGTCACCAGCTGTTCCTGCAGTCAGGGGCACGCCGGATGTTTCCACAGAGAAGGTTATGGGAAGCTCCGTTAAGATTGTGGCCGGCCCCACAGATAATGATGATTCCTGTGTTAATCAGGGTGTTGTGGCTGATGTTTGACGAAGAGGGTGATAGGTTAAGCAGTTGTTTTCGACATGTTTTTTACTCTTGTTTCCTGTAAGATATCTTCATCTTTTTTTTTCTAAGGAGAGTGGGCAGCCCACTCCCCGTGGTATTTTTCCCTCCTACACTATCACTACACTCTAGTTAAGAGTTTTTTCTTATTGCAAGTTGTTTTCCATGTTTCTTCCTCTGAGAGTTGTTTCCACTCTGAAGGAAACAACAGTGATAGGAAAACCTTTTATACCAGAGCAGGGGTTTCTTGATGTACAGTACAGTTTAGGATGCCATGAGGACATTGGTTTAATGCATGATTCTTTTTCCCTTTCACAGCCAATATTTCCCTCCTCCAGTCTCCTTTCTACTCTGATACTTATCGCCTAACATCTAATAACATACTGCGGCTCCATGAGGGAGACCAGGTGGTCCCTTCTTCCCAGAGACGGACAGTATTTGGGGGCCTCCAGAAAGAGACCAAACCCCTGCCGCCTCTGCCTGACCCTGAGGAGCTCATGTCGGATGAAGCTGCTGATAATGAGGTGGAGTTTTTTACCAGTGACCGACGGCGCCTTTTGCCCAAAAGTTGCCCCAAGGCCATGTCCAGGGGCAGTAACAGAGACTGTGGCCAAGTTAATCATGCCTACCAGGAGAGCTCGCTGCAGGCCGTTAGTTCTGAGATTGGCTGTATGGCTTTCTCCTGGCCAGGCAGAGAGGACAGACCGACAGGTAGAGGAGGTGGGTTTGGAGCCAGCAACTGGGCACCTGGTCTCCACAGAGAAGACCACCAACATGTGGCCTCAGCAGCTGGGGATCCTTTGTGTAGCAAACAGCCAGACCTACACCAGGCGTCTAGATTTCGTTATTCCTTCTCAGGCCCTGCTTTCCAGCCACACAGCAGCACCACAACCTGCCCCACCGACAAGCCTCAAATCCCTCCTCGTATCCCCATCCCACGAAAACCTCAGGCTCTCTCACAGACTGTGAGCACAAACGAGGAAGACAAGCCTCCCAGAATTCCTCCAAGGGTCCCTTTAGTCCCGCCCTGCCCACCACGTACCCCGAGCCCCAAAAGCCTTCCAATTTATATCAACGGTGTGATGCCTGCCACACAGAGTTTTGCTGCTAACCCAAAATATGTGAGTAAGGCATTACAGAGACAGCACAGTGAGAGGTCGGCACCTGCAGCTCACTTTTCTCCCTGCATTGTTCCCATTTTGAAGGACGGCAGACAGGCCAGTGCCACACACTACATCCTCTTACCACCGGACCGACCGGCGCACACAGACAGACGAGAGACGCTCCTGAGTGAACCGACAAGGACGGGAAGCTCCAGTGTCTGGCAGCACAGATAGAAACCCTCACTACTGTCACTGACATCATGAATAACTATGCTATACGCTATACAGTGTGAGAAAACATCTTCATGGTACATATGCATGTCCAATGTCATATTGTTGTGTTATGTTATGTTATGTTATTTTCAATGACTGGTGTTTTCTAGACACCAGACCACACTGTTAGGCAGTTTTTAGTGACGTACCTCTAGTTCATCCCAGAAAACATCGTAACATTCCAGTGTTTTCATTGACAGTGGAGAAATATTTACCTCCTATCAAGAGTTTCAGTTTTGGTAACTGGGACGCTGCAGTTATCTCACAGGGAAAATGTCTTCTCACTCATTTATTTGTAGGTCACAGCCACATCGTCATCGTCGCTAAATGAAACGGAGCTGATACTACATTTCTTAGAAGTGAGCAAATGATTACTGTATGTACAAGCTGGGCTTGTACATGTATTTTTGTGATAATGCTGCTTTAAATCATGAGTAATAATAATGTATAGACTTAATGTTTTGCAGAATCGTTCTCACATTAAGATGATTTATGGTAAATGTGACCGTGAACAACGTGGCCAATATTGGAAGTTTTGAACAACACTGATATTAAACAGTTCACCTGATAAAACTCTTTCTTCATAAACTGTCAGTGGATTCTAGTCACTTCCAGTGCCTTTTCCAGGATTTATGTGTAAGTGCACTTCCTTTTGTTCAGCAGCTCTCACAATCAAAAAGCTGATCTTGTCATTCAGTTACACCAAGCGACATTCTACCTGCAAAATACTCTACAGGATCATTTCAGGCATTGATTCATTCAAAATATTCTATTCTCATGTTCAGTGTTTAATTGATTCAAGGGTACATTCTGCAATCAATGTCAAGAGACAACCAAACTTCAGAACATATGACTGAAACCTGCCGTCACTCTTACATTGATTTGATTGACAGGTCCTTTGATACACACATGAAGAACAGTAGCCAAAAACTAAGTCATTGATTTATGATGCTGGTGAAGGTTTTACATCAGCTGTGTTTACACATTTGTAAAAGAGGCCCTCATTTTCAACTATGATGGGATTACAAACACTAATACTAATCATTAAGGTAAACAGTTTAATAATGTGTGTAAATTTAGCTCAAATACTGCATACATGGTCAAAAATGTACAGGTTGGACATTTTAATGATTCCTTTTGTGTCTATGTGTGGGCATGGAAATCATGTTACATTTACACTGTTGAAGTGCAGACTCACATTTACAGCCTTTGTAATTATACAGTGGGTTCTAAGTTCTCATGAAGGTTGTGTCTGATCTGAGGCTGTACGTTCATGTTGTGTCAGTAGTAAATCATTGTAAAATTGTGTTTTTAATCTATTTATAGAAATAAAATAACTTATTCGTCCTATGATTGATTCAGTGTTTTTTGGTTGGTGATCTCTGCTTTGTCAATATTCCCTCTAGGACACTTGGGTCTGCAATAAATTGGATCCTTGTGAAACGAGAAGACAAACATCAGCTTATTCTTTTCCCAGTGTTTTTGTGCCATAGGAAACCATAAATAAGAGGAAACATATTCTAGAAACTTTTCATTGACCATTGTACCATTGAGTATTTCACTTATTCTGGATTTACTGATTTATTGATGAGGTATTTTTTAATGACTTTAGTTGCTCTTGCTGGTTTATCTTTTCAAAAGTGTATTGCAACCTACACTAGGTAAGTACAAGTGAAGCTATTACCAATACTTTTCAAAGTTCTGCACCTAGATTGAGTAAGAAGGATCATGTTTACTTCAAAAATATCCAATCTGGCGTCTGACAGGGTAATGGCGGCAGAGTGATCCCACGCCTGGCGTTTGCTCCCTGACCATTTATAACTTTAACATATCTACACTCAGATTTTTTGACTTATTTGCATGTCAGCGTAATACTTCCAAAACTGAAATGAGTAAATCCCACGGGACCCGCCAGGGAAAAGGTC